AAATTGTCCATTAAAGTGATATTTTTTTTCCACAATTGGTTATAAAATTTGTTTCCATTGCCAAAAAGTAAAAATAAAAGGGAAAAAAAATTTGTTTCCTAAAAAATCATTTTTTTCATCAAAGTTTAGTTGACTTTGTTTTACATGAAAATTGTCTATTAAAGGGAATTTTTTTTTTTACCATTGGTTATGACATTTGTTTCCATTACCAAAAAAAAAAATTCCAGCCAGTCGGAAAAATATTTTTCCACCAAAAATGCGGGAAAACATTTTCATCAAAAACCCGAAAATTACACACGTGTGGTGAAAATCAGGAAAATATTTTCAGTGGAAAATTTCGCCAATCAAACAGCCAAAAAAGTGGAAAGTGGAAAATATTTTCTTACTTCTCTGAAAAATGTGGCCTATCAAACACGGACTTAGATGTATGAAGTGAAAATGAGGATGTTGAGATGAATATGCGATTCTACGAAAATTTACATTTGCTAAGTGGAATTGGAACTAACGGAATTGAAAGAACAACTTAGGTTATGTGGTTGCATGATAGTTTGAATCGACCTAAAGAAACCAGATCTCAACTTCTGTAGAGAATTTAGCCCATAGAGGGGTGTTTTTTTCGATTCTCTCGCTCTAGTGTCCAAATCAAGATATGCATCAAAGTGTTAAAGGTTTCGCGTAACTTCTCTTTTCATTTTGAAAACAATATGTGTAGTTATCATATATCATACAGCAAATGATCAATTGGACATTTTGAAACCTCAGTAGTAAATCTTCTGAGGGTTCAAAAACTGAAATGAAATACAAGGATTATTCACTTTATTGTTGTAACCACAAAAACACATGACAATCTACACACCTTGCATAGAAAGGCATAGAAAAGCAAAGTAGATTCCACTCAGTATTTGAAATTAAAACTGGGGTCATAAGTTACGTGCACAATATTGGCGCGTTCTAAAAACCTTTCGCACCTGGCAGGTTGATCCATTGGAGTTGAAGTTCGACCTCGCCACTTTCAACATTTCTCAATCGCAAAATCATATCTTGTATCACCTTACCATCTTTCCAGATAACGCAAGTCTCTTCGGACAAGCAATTTGTCCTGCACGGTTGGTTTCTTGTAATTACAGTACCACTTGGGAGGCCATCTAGTTTGATCCTCAATGCTTCCATGAATGGTTTAATATCAAACTCTGCATCTCCCATTTTGTCATCCATGCTGAATGTGTCGTGGTCGTAGACTGTCTGAAATCATACACATGAAGGGACAACTTCGTACTATTAGAAAGATCGACACATTATGTCATTGGGACCATTCTACTATATATTTATTTACAGTACTATACTTAGGTATGCAAATAGTTTTTATCACAGTATGCTCATGGTATTTAGAAAGTGGATCTCACCAGCTTGATTGGGGTATTTAGATCAGCAACGGACAGAGTCAAATCTTCATTCCATACAGGATTGATATCCTTCTTAATAACACGAGTCTTCAACTTCTGCATAGAACATCAACATATATCACTGTGAAATTCGAGGGGCAAAAGTTGAAATAAAACACACAAGTATCATGTTTATGTTTCAATTTGTCAAAATTTGTAATAGTCAAACTTCATTTCAAATTCCAATGAATAATCAAGTATTATCCACTTCATTTTAATTTCTGAATGAAACAACCAAGCGGCTCAAACCTCTATGTATTTTATTGTGATAGTGTTTTAAGTATCCATTTTGAAGAGCAACCTCTTCAAATTCAAATTTGAAAGGCACCTCTTCATCAAGAAACGTCACTTGATGAAGAGAAAATCTCATTCGACCCATTACCTCAAAGAGACTAACTCCAAGATTACGAAAAGGAGGCAAGACTTGACCTACTAGTTAAAGGATGATTATATCTCGATCAAGAATGTCATATCCTCCATAACTATCAAAATTCAATATTCCTTCTACCCCATATATTAGCTAAAATAAAGGTCAATCATGCTTACAAAGTGTTTGTTTTGACTGGAATTTCGTTTGCCTGAATTCAGTGCGCGTCTGGCTATGACATAATTTCAAAAACAGTATTTTTGAAGTTACTACAAACTTGAGTGTTATAATTCTTTCTATACCTCCACAAAGTCAACCAACTCCAAGATTAATATTTCCACAGAGGGTTACGTGATATTCTAACGAAGATTACGACAGTTTAAACAAAGGATGCATGGACAGACCTGTTTACCCATTTTGACAACAACGTATGGATCGCTAGTGACGACATCACGAACAGCAAGATTTACACCTCTCTTAATCCGAACTCTTAGAAGTCCCAACATCTGATTTATCGGAGATTTTGCTGCTGGTGATTTTCCACTTGCAGGGGAAATAGGTGAATCCATTTTATCTTCTATTCGATTTTCCCTTTTTAATCTTAAAGAAGATAATATTCTACCAACCAGTGCTCTCTTCCAACCTATTTTGAATAATATGAAAAAATATCCTTTCTTCCGAGTCTATCTTTTCTTGATCCACTCTGCAAAAACATTAATAAAAACAAAGAAACTATGTTATAATCAGACAACATGGGACGGAAGAGGTGTTTCTAAATTTTCAGATACGTACTATATGGAGAGGTAACCTTTGTGGATGCAATAGTAATACTATTATCATAAAGATTTTCTATTGAAAAATAAAATGGAGAGGGAAGAGAGTGTTATTTTAGTTTTTCTCTCTCTTGTTTGTGGGGAAGAGAGAGAGAGTAGGAGAACACAATAAAAAAAAACACACAAGAAAACAATGGGAAATAAGGTGGGGGGTTTTTGTGAATTATAAGGGACGCAGGTTTGTAGGCAGGTAGGTTATCAATGGTTGGATGGTATTAATGAAATGTGCCTGAGTCTAGTTTTTGGGCATTGACTAGGAGAGAACTGTGGCGTGGAAGACGCTTTTTCTGGCGTGTTTGGGGTAGGGTCCCCAATCTTTTCTCATTGATAATATGGGGTTCCATTCTGTTATTTGTAACACGTAGATTCTCAAATTAGGAAAAATGTTCGTTTGAAATCCCTAATTGGCGAAACTGTAATCTATGTCGCCCACCATCACCAGCCACCGATCCAGCCCAAACCAGTCACAACCAACACTGTTACAGTCCCCAATTCCTCAATGATACTAGCGGCTTTTCCCCACCCTTCTTCACTCCACAGTGCCTGCCTCGTCTTTCCTCGCGTCAGCTCCAAATAATAAAGACGAGACAATCACTTAAATTAAAGTCTAAGCACACCCAAACATGCTTGTGCTAAATCTCAGTTTGCTAGCCTAGTGAGATTTAGCGAGCCCGTTAATGGCTTGCTATAATAAGCTTTGGGGAGCTTTACGAGCCAGTTTGCTTGTAAAAAGATACAATTTCAAGAATAAGATATATATATTTTTTTAAATTTCAAAAATGATGTCATAATTAAATTTTTAATAACTAAATAGATAATTAAAAATATTTTATTAATTAAATATAGTGATGTCACAATATTATATAGTTTATTGTCACAGTTACGTAGAAATGGACGTGGTTCCAAAGAACCAAACCGAACCATGAACCAAAGATTTTTTGGATGATGGAACCACTATTTTTTTATTTTTTTATTTTATTTTTTTTCCTCATCTTCCAATGTTGTCATGTCAAGTGTATCTGTCAAAATTTTCTTTTAAAAAATCTGCACCTATAACATGATTGAAAAAATAAAAACCAAATATTCACAAATTCAACTTCAAATAATGAATCATCAAATAAAATATTGTGCAATAAAATTATTTACAAAAATACAAACTAACAAACTAAATATAATCATAATTTGAATACACAAATATCAAGTTCCATTCTCATACAAAATACTGTCTAATAACAATGATTCACTAACGTGAACGAATTAGTAATAGACAAAAGTTATATTATTATTTTTTGTGTGTGTGATTCATAGATTTGTAATATATATATACATATATTTAATAAAAATTGAGTTTAGATCTTGATCCTCTTTTTGATTTTAAATTTGGAACCAAACTAGAACCAAAACCAAATGGTTCTTGGTTCTAAGAATCAAAACTATTATTTTTTTGTATCGATTTTGATTTGGTATAGTTTGATTTGGTAATTTTGTCCACCCATATACCTTGATCATAAATCACAACTTATTTTACAGTCATAATTACAAATTAATTGATTACAATTTAATAAATTGTGAATCACAATTTCACATTTTTAGATTGAATATTATTTATTGATCACAAATTAACAAATTCATAAGTCACTAACACTTTAACCTCAATCCGACCTGACCTGACCTGACCTGACCTAACCTAACCTAAATTCACCATCGGTACCAATCAAATGTCGCACCACCATCGTTACCACCACCTCACCATCGTCGTTAGCATAGCACCACCACCACTTCACCATCACTATCAGCATTATCACATGCACCACCGTTTGCAAATCACCAACAAAAATACCCCAAAACTCCAGCCAAGCAGTAGATCGGAGAAGGAAGAAAACAACCCCAAAACTATCCGTGTTGCGCGTAACGGTGCTTGTCGATGGTCTTACGCGGGGATCTTCCATGTGTTATAAAGAGAGAAAAGAGAGCAGGAAAATGATAGAGTGTGAAGAGAGGACAATGATTTAGGATTTGGGAGTGAAATGGGGATAGGGATGGGGTGGAATAATTTAATTTGATAACATTATTATTAATATTAATATTTACAAGTTGAATTATCTCCTAATTTTTTAATATAAAATTTTTAAATTTAATTTTTGAATTGAAAAGTTAAAAACAATGTGTGTTTAATTTCCATGATAATAAACTTGGGTAAAATGATGGGCCGGAAGCCTCAGGTCCAAGTCCATTCGAACTCTAACATCCCCTCTTTTTCTTTCCCTCCAAACGATGAGAGTTGCAAAACCGAAAATGAAATGGAGCCATGGGAAACATTGGATGTAGACGATTCTGACCTTCCCGCTCTCCTACGCCCCTGTAAACGCCAATTCCGCCACCACCCGCCGCCGTCTACTTCCATCGCAAACCCTTTTCCTCGGTCGCCGGTTTCACTTTCCTCACAGCGAGAGGACCTTCATACCTCTTGTCAACAACCACCGCCTTCTACTTCTAAGCACAGTTCACAGATCCCGGGTCCTGCAGGAGTCGTGCAGACCGCCATGCTTCGCAAATCTATGGACCAAAGTAATCGGAATTTTGTGTCATCGCAAGATAATCAAATGGATGGTGATAATGATAGTAATAACGTTATTCCTACACAGGAGTATATACGGAGGGCTATGGAAGATAATTCGGAATTCGATGAAGATTTCACCAGAAACCCTTGGTTTTGCGCCCTCGATTATCTGGGTAGTTTGTTATATTTTACATACATACTTGATTTTTTTGTACATTACTTTATTTCGTATGCCAATTGGTTGGAAAATATTGGTTTTCATTAGATGACTATATTTTTTCTTAATTTTTTTAAAGGTGTGTCGTGTAGTAAAATTTTGGTCATAATTTGTAATTTTTGCAGGCACTGTAAATGGTGTAATTCCATGTACATCAGTAAGCTCTATAAAGAAATGCCTGAATGTTGGCAAGGTTGATAAGGTATTTATAATATAATTTTAGCTTTACTATAGACGAACGGAGACACAGACACATAGGGAAAAGAGACAATATCGATTCTAGAGTTCTGTATTAAATATAATTGGATGATAAATGCCGCGTATAATGCGAATTTGCAAATGATGAAGAGGTGACATTACTTTGTTAAGATAAAATATGTCGTCATAATTAGTAAATGCTTATATTTGGGTAAGTATAATTGTCAGCTGTAGGTTACTTTTAGAAAAGACAGCAACTCAATGTCTGTTATGCATTGGCACAGAAGTAGCACTCACCAACATTGTTGAGCAGTGACATAGCCAAGTGAAAGGGACGTCGACTTGAATGCAGAAAGATAGGGAGAAAGGGATAGATATTGTGTCTTTTATTTTAAAAAAAAATAAAGTGGAATAGGGTGTGTAATGTATAAATGAACAAAGAGAGAATACTCATTTTCAGTCAATTAGACTATGCCATCTACATATGTATGAAGGTGCATTTGAGTGTACGAGTTATGCAAAACCTATATAAGATAATTGTGAATGTAAGCATACGAACCTTTGGTTTCTCCTTACATCTTGTATCTTCTTTTTGTGTGTGATTAGGTTGTGGCTGTCATCAAGTCATGCACGCCTAATGGTCTTGGGGGTCTGATAGTGACCTTGAAGGTATAAATTGGACAATATGGATGAAAACAGTGTCAAGGGGGTTTATATACTGATTTCGTTATCTTTGAATTTAGGATCCTACAGGTACAATTGGTGCCAGTATTCATCACAAGGTCCTCACTGAGAGTGAGTATGGAAAGGACTTGACAATTGGTGCAGCTTTAATACTTCAAAAGGTATTTTCTGATTTTAATTTCTGCCTTCTGCAGATTTTTTTATCATTCTGCAAATCAAAGTAGTCTGTGGAGCAAAGAGCTTTTTATTTAAGATTTACCTTCCATTTTGCATTTGTTGATGAATGCAAGTTGTATTTCAGGTTTCGCTTTTTAAGCCTTTGAGGTCTGCACATTATCTGAATATTACACTGAGGAATTTGATAAAGGTGAAGTTTATTTACGATGCTGCTTTTAGATATAAATAATTGACATGCAGTGTCGTATAATCAACAATACTAACTGACCCGGATTTATTGGGAATAAAGCTTTTTTTTTTATAGGTAGGAATAAAGCTTTGTTATTGGTTGTATATAATCGGGAATGCTACCTAGTGTAAAGAATAATATTTAAGACCATGCTTACAGTGACCGCAGTTTATGCGGTTATCTTTAAAGTTATTTTCTCTAAATAATATTCCTCAACCAACCTTGACTCAAATGTCCTTCAATGAAGGGTGAGAGATATAAGGGCATCGCCTTGAAACAGTCCTCTTAAACAATTTTTTTCTCCATTAGATGAGATGCATTGAAGACGATCTTAAAAACGATTTGGATTGTTCATAGTTCTTTAACGCCATAAATCCAACAATTGGTTCTGTTATCTAAGATTGCACAAATCAGTTGTTCTTGACACATAATACTAATTCTGTTTTATTCTAAGACTTTGTGCTGCCGTACCAGATTTAACGGATACTATAGATTTGCAGGCAGAAGTATTATTTTGATCTTATTGTAATGCAGAAGTATCAATATCTTGAAGCTATAGCATATTGTTATCCATGTTTGCCATGGAGAAGCAATTCCACCATGTCTTGAATTACAGTGTGTCACCTTATATAACGTTGGTTGGTTAGAGAAAAGCTTTATTAGTTCAAAAAGAATCTTGGATCTGATATTCAATATCAGGTAAAGTCCTGCATCTGGAAAGATCAATCAACGTTTACACAGTCCATGTTGAAATCTTATTTTATTTTCTAAGCGTGAAAGTTATTGCAATCCTGTTCACTCCTCTCCAATTTCAATCATCTTCTGTCTTTTGATGTGGGAGTTTCATCACAATTTTGTTCTCACGCGTTGGATTGCAAGTGATGGATAAATAATTTTTTTTTTTTAGTAGAATAACCTTCCACTTGTGTTAATCTTTAGTTTTAATCTCTCAACTACTAATCTTACATGGTATAAATCCTTGAGAAATAGCCATTCTTCATGATTCTGGAATTTAGCAAAGTGAAGTTAAATAATGCACACTCCGAGATCTTGATTTACTATGACTCTTGCCAGTTTCTAGCATACATATGCACACTTGCATACTGATGTTTGGATTTGTACTATAATTTTACTACAAAATGTGTTTGTCATATGCAATGTTTCTCCTGAGGAGGTAATGTCACCTAATGTGCTTCACATGAGGTCTTTCCAAGAAGAACATCTTTCAAAAAAACTAGAAGCCATCTTATGGTTACACATTTACCCAATCTGATGGAGAACTTATAAATCCAGTTACTTGGAATTCATGGACTGAATAAACCTTTCTGTTGATACATGCTGTTTAGACACATGTATAGTTCTTTATTTGCTTATACATGCACACCTCTGTATGTAGACACCGATATACCTCTATGGTATATATGTATTCCTACATATTTGAACATTTCCTGTAACTAGCTTCTGTTTTGGAATTTGTTTTCCAGATACTCTCAGAATTATGTAATGCTATACTCCACGTGAATAATCAACTATAGAAATCATTATAGCAAGCGTATATAGTTACATCTTTGCATGCTATTCTCCCTTTCCCAAATACAAGACCTCTTGAATTATCAGTTGGTTTGCTTGGTTGCAATGGACGCTAGTAATATTATTTTCCAAATAACACCAAGAGAATTGTATGACATCATGGACATGAGCAGCATGTAATGATATGTACAACGTATTCTCAAGTTTGTATTCCTATTAATCTGACGATGCTCTTAGGTAACGTCCAAGTCCAAGTATTTATGATGGTTTTATGTGCAGGTATTCAGCAAGGAAAATGGTCCCCCATCTGAACAGAAGTATTCTGCATATTCTCTCCAATTTGCAGATCCTGGTATTGGTATGTGAAAGATCTTGAATTAACTAACCCCTATTTTTTCTGGAATTACAAAAATTGAGAGGTTCATGTTTCCTCCTGGATATTTGTGTACAATGTACAAGTTTAGTACTCTGAGACTAATGATACTTTCTTTGGCTGTTATTGTGTCGTTTTATTGTCTGTTTATTTATGCATATTTGCCTTTCCAGACTATTGCGGAAAAGCTAATACAACGGAGAAGATGTCCACTTTGGAAAATGGAAGAGTGGATAACTCCCCAGTTGAGTCTCGACAATTCACCCAAAGAAGAGAAGATTTAATGCATAAGAATAATATAAAGGAGAAAGAAAACATGTTATTGGGGAGTTTTCACTGCAGCAACCGAACTAGCGTAAACCTAAATGCAACCGTGAAGAAAGGTGCCCTGGAAAAAGTGGCTGAAGATGCAACCAGAACAAGTACGCAGGATCATCACCACGAGTTTTTGACTGTTAATGACGAAAGGGCAAACAGGAGTAATGTACAAGGCAGCCTCATAAACAATAGCACTGTTTCAAACTTAGAAATCCAAAGCACCAATGGAGTTGAGATGCAAAGACAGCAACTTGTGGTGAAACATTCTCTTCCACAATGGACAGATGAACAACTGGATGAACTTTTTGCTACTGATGATGATGATGGCTTTTTATTCTAATATGCATTTTCTTATCCGGTATTTCTGCTACCTGTTGAAGGACATTGGGACATATTTTGCAGAACTAAAATGTACTGTTTTCTCTTGTAACAAATCAACAAACTCGAAGCTTCAATGCAGAAGAAAGGAAGAATCCCAACATCGTCTGATTGTAATGATAAATCCTGTCATCTTCTTGTTGGATTAAACTTGAATGCAGTAACCAAATGGTTTGTCAGAGCTCTTTGGATCTCAATGGCTTCCTATGAGATTGCTGAGCCGATCATTGTTCTAATCTGTTTGTGTGTCACACTGTTATTGGATGCATATTTAGAGGTAAATTGTACGTCATGTTATCCTCTGGACTTACTACCTTTTTCATTTTTTTTTTGTAATTTTTAGAGTAGTTATCATAATGTTATTCATAGTCGATCACTACTGGCAGTCATTCTATGTTAATTTCTTAAAATTTTAGCCCCTATTTGTTTCACATTAGTAGAAAAAAATGAACCGTTGGTACAATAGAATAACAATCATATTTGACCAGTTTGTGACTTTGTGTTGGTGAGACTTACTTTGTTTGATAAAAGGGGTACAAATTTTCATTTTCTTGCTTAAATAATGTGAAACAATCAGGGGCTTATTATCTCAAATGACAAGTTAATCTTCAAATAACAAATTATCACCAGCAGTGATGATTATGAATAACATTACCCTTTCCTTCAAGGGCGAGTTCTATGTTATTTTGGGAAAAAAAACAAAGATGTCTTTTTGGCTTCCTCCTGAGCATTTAAGCCAGGCCAAACATGCTAGAACTTATTAATCGAGTTACGCGAGGAGAGTTAAAAAGTGAAATATAAAGGAAAGTAAGATTTTTGCCGGCGTCCACACAGAAAACTTTTGCACTTCAAATTTCAAGAGTCGGTGTTCAAACATCATAGACTCATCAAAAGCATTCTCCCATTATTTTTATCAAAAGTCTTCATAACAGAGGAAGAAAAAGGGAAATTAGTATTTACTTTGCAGGATAGGTCGAGCCCTACTCGGCTGAGAACTCGTACAGCATGCTGTGTTTGTACTTCTCGCCTGGTTGAACAACTATAGATGGAAAATTTGATTGGTTGATGGCATTAGGAAATCCTTGTGTCTCAAGACAGACCCCAGATTGTTTTCCATATACAACATCACCTTTACCGGCGATTCCATTCACATAATTTGCAGTGTAAAACTGCATACCAGGAGCATTGGTCCATAAATTCAGAGTCCTTGAGCTAGCCGGATCCTTCAATCTTGCTGCATGCTTCAACCCTAACTTTTCATCTCCACAGTTGAGCACATAATTATGGTCATATCCCAGTCCAACCTCGTGGATACGACTACTGATTTTATTCTCAGTGGTGAAGTCGAATGGAGTTCCTTCGATGGACATGATTTCACCGGTTGGGACAGTATTGTGATCCACAGGAGTTATATGCCTTGCCCATATCTGAATTGTATGATCAAGAACATTTCCTGAATTATGACCTGCTAAGTTCCAATAGGTGTGTTGAGCTAAACTTATAGGTGTCGGCTTATTTACTGGAACTGCTTCCATGTCAAGCCTCATGGTCGTCTTAGACACAAGTGTATAAGTTGCAGTGATGTGGACATCACCTGGATAGCCTGCAATGTATCATAGAGAGGAGGTAGTGTTCTTATGCTCGCTTATAGGTGCATGAGAGAGAGAGAGAGAGAGAGAGAGGCAGTACCTTCTTCACCATCACGAGAATGATACTTGAAGGTAATTGATGGATTTTCACCTTGTTTATACTCAGCAACTTCCCAAATAACCTTGTCATATCCCTTGTGTCCACCTGTACATGAGATGAGTTCCCAAATAAACTTGTCATATCCCATATAGGTCACAATTTGTTCATCGGCCACAAACAAAAAATTGAAACGTCACAAATTATTTTAAGATCACAATTCAATAATTTTATATATGATAATTTGTTCATTGGTCACAAATCATAAATTTTATAAATCACAAATTATTTTAAGGTCACAAATCAGAAATTTAATAGATCACAAATTATTTCAAGAAAAGTGAACTAGCATTCAAGGCTTCTAAGGTACAATATATGATATTTCAAAATCATTTTATTTAGAAAAGGCATATTCTTGGCTTTTGTAAATGTGGATTCTTCTTTCCTTTTTAGGATCCATATCTCAGTGCAACTCCAGCTGTTCTAAAGCCCGAAAATATACTTCCTACTCTTTTTTTCTTTTCTCATGTAGAATGCAAGAAGATTGATCAAGTACTAAAGAATCAAAGAATGGCATGGCTCAGACACCAGTGGAAGTATATAAACAAAAGAATGTCCAAATTGTCCTTTTTATCCTCCTGCACAATGCATTAAGCGCCTAATAGACCACCACCATATATGAAGATCTCAGAAGATTAATACCATGGAGACTGTTTGGTGGCTTGTTGATTGGCAAAGAGTATTCAATGCCGTCGAGTGTAAATTTCCCATCTTTGATCCTGTTTGCTACCCGGCCAACAATGCAGCCAAAAAAAGGTGAAGCACCTTTCTACACAAACAAATCCAAAACACACATATATCAACTCATTATCTCCCATGAAATGGGTTAAAAACACTGTTAGCTACCTCAACCTATACTTGACCTAATCATTGAACTAGGGAGTTTTGTGGTACGGGTTATAGGGAAGTTTTTTAAAGTACCGATTTTTTGCATTTATGAGATGATCGACTTTGGGTGGTTTACATATTCATTTTCAACCACACATTGACACAATTAAACATTATGTATGTAAACTCAAAACTTTTATCTACTTTTTAACCATACATTCTCCAAAATTCACTATTCAAAACATTGTTTTTAGTAAATAATGGTCATCAAACAAGGGCTTAGTAACGATTTTTAAAATGGTCCAACCCATGTTTGAGAATTTATTATTTATCGATTCTTAAAACTTTTAAAAAAAATAAAATTACATATATTCACTTGGTGAAATTTTCAATTTATAATTTTCTTATGAAATTTTATTGCACATAAGTGATATTTTACTTATATATATATTTTTACTTCGAAGTTAATATTTAACATAAAAAATTAAATATTTACTTATAATTAAATTTTAAGTTTTTTTTACTTAAAACTAAATTTTACAATTATAAGTTAATTTTGTACTTTCAAATTTTTTTTATTCATAAGTAACTATTTTATATTTATAAGTAATTTTTTGTCGTTTTAATAATATTTTCTTTATTAAACAAATTTTTACACTAAAATGAATTTTAACTTGTAAGTAACTTTTTGCTTATATATATATATATATTATTTCTTATTATTTTTCTTATAAATAATTTTTTTGATAATGTATTTTTATTTACAAGTTAGCTCATTTTCATTTTCATTCTTCTACTTATTTTCAACCACACATTTTTCAATAAAATAATATTTTCTATCATATCAATAACTTTTCCTTCTTTTTCAA